TGGCCGTCCCCCTGGGGGGTGATTTCTCGCTTTCTGTCTCTCTGTCTTTCTGGCGAGCACACGCACCCTATAGTGAAAACCTGTCCAAAAAAAAAAAACCTCATGCTGGGTGCATGTATGTGCATACCCAAAATCCCAAGAGAAGAATGGAGGAGAAAGGATTGCAGCATGGCCGTTTCCTCTTGGGGGTGATTTCTTGCTTTCTGTCTCTCTGTATCTGCAGGGAGCAAGTGTGCCCTATACCAAAAAATCTCTCTTAAAAACAAACAAACAAAGCAGGATTTAATTGTTCCTTAAAGAATCATTCACTTTCTAATGGTCTATTTATTTTTAAGTGAGGAATTTTTTTTTCTTGGAGAGGTTTTTGCTATAGGGCATGTGCACTCACCAGACATACAGAGAGAGACAGAAAGCGAGAAATCACCCCCCAGGGGGGATGGTCACGCCGCAATCCCTTCTCCTCCATTCTCCTCTCGGAATCTTGGGCACACATGCACACGTGCCTGGTGTGAGTTTAAGCCACCAGGTCCGGGACTCGAACCATGGTAGACTATATGGGAGTCCAGCGACATAGCCATTATGTCAACTGCTGGTCCCGTAATTGTTTCTTTATATATAATCTGTATATCAGTTTTGACCACTTAGCCTGAGAACTTTGTAGACTGATACTACATATTTGTATCAGATCTTTATAGATAATTCAGATACTGTTCTTTTATAAATTACTTTTATCATCATTTTTTCCTCTTTTATTGTCTTTTCTAACATGAGATTTTATTGTGGCTTATATGTAAAAGGTTCTTTTTTATTAAAAATATTTTTGTGATGAAATAGTTATAAAATTAACCAATGTATACAATTCAGTGGCATTTTGTAAATATACAATGTTATATAATCATCACCACTATCTGGTTCTGGAACATGTTCATCACCCGTAAAGGAAACCCCATGTCCTTCCCTGTTCTCTTGTCCCTGCAGTTCCTGGCAATCACTAACTTTCTATCTTTGTGAATTCACCTATTGTAGACATATAAATGGATTCAATAGTGTGTAGCTTTGTGTCTGGCTTCTTACGTGTAATGTTTTCAAGGTTCAACCATAGTTTAGCATGTTATCAGTACTTTTATTCTTTTTTATTTGTGGGATAATATTCTATTGTGTAGATACATTTTATACATTTATTTCTTGATGATTTGGGGTTTCTACTTTTCCACTACTGTGAATAATGTTACTGTGAATGTTCATGTACAGACTTTGGTTGAACACCCATTTTCTGTTCTTTTGGGTATGTACCTAGATGTGGAATTGCCTAGTCATATGGTTAGTCTAAGTTTAGCTTTATGAGGAACTGGCAAACTTTTTCCACAACAGCTGCATATTTTACATCTCTACC